GGGGAGCCTCTTTTAGCAGGGGGTGCTGCAGTCTGGATCCCACCTTTGTGCTCTGTGGAGCTTGTCTGGGACTGCAGAGGCTTCTCAGGTGCTGGCCATAGGAGACCATGCTCCGCTGTCTTTTTTTGGTTTGAAATTCAACTTGTGTGGGTCAAATTAATGTTCGTAGGGCAGAAGTGCTCCTTTTAGGTCAGAGCTGAGGCTGTCTGGTGGATAGCGTGGGAGAAGCTTTCTCTGCCACTATTCCTCATTTGTGTGTTCTGTAGAAAAAGGATGGTTTAATATTAAGACATGCTGGCTCGATTCCTTAACCACCACCACCCCATTAAAACCCAATCTCAACAGAGAAAGTTGCTTTGTAGATAATCAGTGTTAGTGCTTTAATAACTGTTTCACTGCATTTTCTTTCTCTTTCTGACACACCTCCCTTTCCCCTCTCATTTTTTTGCCTGGGATAGGCAGCAATTTACAGATCTGCATGCTTTGAGATAACATGAGAGCTACAGTTTCAACCCTTCATCCTCAGTCTTTGTTTTGTCAATCAGTATATGGGGTGGACTTAATCAGTGAGGATTGCTGTTCCCGGTATGTTGTCTGTTAATCAGTGAATCTGGCCATCTCTTGAGATTCGGTAAGTGTCTGTCATCTTGATATGGTGCTGTGGAATTCGGTGCCAAAATGCACCACATAATTTAAATCCAAACAATAGCAAAAGGGGTGTGTGTGTGTGTGTGTGTGTGAAGCTGTAGATGGCCTTAAAATTAGTATTACGGTAATGTAGCAGCATTAAATGCCCCCAGGCAAACAAGATCTAAACTGATCTAGCCAGGAGCATGAAACATTCATCGAAACAAGAAAGAAACTTAGCCGGAGAATAAATCAGAACTGTAGCATAACAGCTGCTTTTTTGGAGAAGATGCAAGTCAAGTGCCTCTTTCCCTGGAAATCTGAAAGCGGGCATGGTGATGGGGCAGGGCAACTACTTTCAAGCTGTTGTGCTCACCAGACAGGCCAGATCTGGAGCTTCTACGTGAAGAAAGCTGTTTTCAGGCTGTGCTCTTGTCAAGCACAACGCAGGCTTTGTTGGGTGGCAGTTCCACCCAAACAGGCTAAATGTTGTTTTTTAAAATTTTTTAATTTTTTTTTTCCACTTCTGAACACTGGACCTTACAAGAAAAATCCATTACGTCCTAGTATGGCGTTGAGGTAGGATTTCATGCTTCCCAGAGTGAGATATGATGGGGTATCACAGCAGTGCTAATGCTGCCCCTATCAGTTCTTGCTTTGAGAGACTACTCAAAATCCATTAGATTTGAACTGCATTGTTTCTGTCTTCATTTCTGGTTCTGCAGAAGATGAAAAACGTGCTAGTGAGAGGCTCAAATGCCAAAGATCTGAGTTTGTTCACGGATTTGTCACTGACCTGGTCTCTGGTTTCAGTACCTCTGCTTTTCTCCTCCATCTCTTTAAAGATAGGGAAAAAAACCTTGCGCTTCAGGGGTTTTCAGGCTGCATAATAAATGTTTGTTACACACCTAGAGATTCTCCAGCAAAAGATGCTATGGAAGTAGTTGTTATTCTAGGGGGATTTTTTGCTTTTTTTCCTAACATCATTTTTTTCCCCCATTTAAGTATGTCTTCTAGAAATTTGCCAGAATTTCTATTTTTTCCAAAATATCTGCTTGTGGTCTGTAGGTCTAGGGACAATTAGAGAGCTCTGCAAAGGGCACCTAAGAAAAACATTATTGCAGAGCTGTGTGTAAGCTAAGAGACACCGCTGTGCATATTGTCCTGCCCATCTCATTGCAGAAAGTGTGTAGAACCCCGCTAAAATTTAGACTGTATTTTTATTTCAAAAAATCACTTTTCCCTTCTTAATCTCTGTGAAAGCATGTTGGGATGCTGTTTATTTAAACAGACATTCTACAGCCAGTCTCTTAGATCTGAAACACTACCCCCCACCCCCACCACATCCCCCCAGCTTTCTAACCAAAAAAATGTAGTTGTCTGTGTGTGGAAGTTAGCATTGTAACTGCAGCCTCCTGCCTCTTAATCCCCTAACCCACAACTTCTACCTTTCTGTGTGCGGGAGACCACAGCATGCTGTCTGTCCCACTGCCCCAGCCCTCGTGCTCGGGCGTGCGGCTGGACTCTCGAGTTGCCCTGTCAGGACACCAGACATCGTTTGCACTCCAGCATTTCTTGGGGCTCTGACACTTCCACTAGGGTAGGAGGAACCACCCCAGCACCTGTGGAGCAGCACAGCGTGCTCCTCCCCTCTGCCCTACCCTTTAATACTGTATTTTAACATTTTTCCTGCCACCAGTTTTCCACAACCCTTCGCTGTTGCATAGGAAAGATGAGCTCCTTGCACGTAAGCCTGCAGATGATCAGCTGGGGTGCGAAGCTGGTGTCTCACCTCTTCTCTCACTTCAAGGTTGGCTGCAGTCACATGAGATGCCGGACTCTCCTGTCGTGCCTTTGCTCTGCGTCTCTGCTGTGAGAGCATCTGCGGGGGGAAGGGGTTGGTGGTGAAGGAGGGGTGTGTGGGGAGATTCTGCTCTTGGTCTCAGTGAAGTTGCTGGTAAGCTGGTCACATGAAACAAAAAATACATCAGCTCCCCTCCCCCATGCACTGGAGTGTTTCTTGGCTCTGCACCCAAACTAGCAGCTGAGCACGTGATTTACTTGTAAAATGCAGTTTAAAAAAAAAATGGTGCCATTGCAGATGGGAACCCAGGGATGGGAGGGCTGGAGTGGGCTGCCCTGTGTGCAGGCAGGGGCTGCTGGGGAAGGGAGGGGGTACGTCTCCCTGCTGAGTTGCAGGAAGCTGGGGGGACGTGGTGCTGTGGGTCACAGGCTTGGGGGAACGCGTGCTGCAGGATGTGGGGCCGCAGAGGAAAGTGCGAGCTGCAGGAGGCAAAATGGAGGGGAACACGCTGA